TAAGCATTGAGTTTTATATACCTAGAAATGTTAACTTTGTTTTTTTACTTCCTGAAATTCCTTTTCTGCTGCAAAAATGTAATTTAGTACCTCTATTACTACAGTTCCGACTGGGAATTGGATTTTACCAGGAAGAATCGTATTTTAGTGATCTAGAAATGGAACAACAGAGGAGAGGGCTTCTAATATATGTTCAAACGGCCTGCCATATTAGACTTCATATAAACTTATGTAGCAATCTTCTTCTTTGCCATCTTCCTCTCCTTTGGAGTTGTAGTTTTGTTTCTCTATCTTTTTTTTCCTCCAATTTGCTTTATTAAAATCTCTAGTTCCACTGGGGTGAAATTGGCACTTCCTGTTGCCTGTTGTCATGGTGACTTGTCGAATCTTGGATTCACTGATGTCTTTTGATATATTTTACCACGTGTTCAACTCTGAAAACTCAAGAGTTTCCAACCTTAGGTTAAATCAATTCAGGGTTGAGGATTGGAGACTGAGTTTGTTCAACCTGATTATAGAAACAGACCCTGTGACTGACAACACTGAAACAGAACTGAGTGAGGAAGTGGATGAAGATGAACAGAAGTAGGAAGTTGGTCAAAATGAGAAAAAACAGAAAGAGTGAGGATTGTGTTCTCAAAGACCACCTGTTGGAGGAGAAGAGAAAACTGAATGAAGAGCTGTTTGGGAAGAAGATGGAAGAGCAATTTCTAAAAATGATGTGATGGTCAAATATTACACAGATCTTCCATGTTTTCCAGTTCTTATGTGACACTGTGCTCTGACCTATATGTGCCCCAGTATTGTTGGAAAAGTGTTATGGCCATTTTGTTTATTTGTTTTACCTGGAAAGCATTGAACCTTGCTTTCCATACATTAATAAATGAACAACTGAAATATTCTTCTACTTTTCTAATTAGTCTTCAAGTATTACACAGATATGCACTAGTAATAAAACTGAACATTGAGCACAGAGGAATAAACATATATGAATACTTATCATTTTGGCAGGGGTGCAAAATAAATGCAATCACATGTAAACAAAAACAAGCACTATTGTGCAAAACACTGGAGAATGCAGCTCAACTTGAAATGTCAAATGCCACAGTGATAGAAAAAAAGTCTCATAGAGGGATGTTGTGAATGAGTTAAAATGTGGAGCTGTAACTATAAAAAATGGATTAGAGTAGAGCTGCAACACCTGTGGAGGGCTCAGCGATACAGCAATGAGCAGACTACGTGGCCAGAAGAAGAGATGATGACCTGTGGTTCAAGCTAAGGTTCATTTAGGGGTCAAGAGTGCAAAACCTAAAACAAAAGAAATTCAAAGTTTATACCAAAACAGACATAACATCCATTAAAGATAATGGAAAATAAGACAAGTAGAGAAGTTGGTGCTTGTTTAAAATCCACATAGCATAGCGCTCTAGTTACCGCTCTGAACATGCTATGAAATGATCCTGTAACATTTGCTGCTGTGATCCTAATATATTTTAACACCATGTCCAACTGATGACTGACATTTTATTCTAATCATAAATCCAGCAAGGCCTAACAACATAACCTAAAATGCACAGTAGATATTTAATTTTCTTTGTGATTTTGGCATAATATGTGATTAAAGGAATAGTACACCCAAAACATGATTAGNTAACGCCACGTCAGCGGCACGTCCTGCTCCGAATTCACTTCCGTCTCCTAGGTCAATGACGTCACTTCCCCGTCAAGATAATAATCTTCCTTTTTGGTCAGAACCCAGCCCGTCGTTTTCTGCACTCAGCCCTTCTCTGCCTGAGAGATTTTCCGGCAATCCAAGAAAACTCAGGAGATTTCTATTTCAGTGTCAGTTGTTTTTTGGATGTCATGATTCTAGTTTTCTTTATGATAAGGATAGGATAGCTTTTGTCTTTTCTTTTCTGTCCGGTGAAGCCCTTGAATGGGTGGAGACCAGATTTCCGCCTAAAACTAGAATAAACTGTACATATGAGAAATTCATCCAGGAGTTTGAAAGGACCTTTAATCAGGTCACAAATAAATCCTGGTTTTCAAGTGGTCTTTGGGAATCACAAGCCACAGGCGTCGGACCAACCTGCAGGCACCAGTTGGAAGGCGTGGAACCCCAAGGGCCCAAAATTCACCATAAAAGGTGAGTCAATTCGTTATAATTTTCTAAATTAGTGGGGAACCAACCTCCGGCGACTGCTTGTGGGTGTCAGGTGCCACCAGGCTCTCCTAAAAAAAACTAGTATTTCAAAATTAATAAAGAAGTTTCCAAATTTATTAAGTAATCATATAAGAATATACAAAAGGCAGACTAAGCTGAGGAAAGGTCCAGGTATGTATGAGTGTATATGTGAATGCATGGTTGAGTATTAATTAATGTTTATATTAATCTGTATTTGAACTGTTCTGTGTTGGAATTATTTTGTGAATAAGTCAAGCTTAACAGGCGATGTTCTGAGTTGACAAGTGGTAAAGGGACAGATTGGTCAAAGCGCTTGACATAGTCTGTGGAAGCCATAGATTCGGAACATTAAAGTACGTCTGTTACGTGAGGGTATTGGTGACTAAGATAGTTGGCATGCTCCATGAACTAGCTTGTATTGTGTTATGGTATTAAGAGGCTAAGCGATAGCCAGGCTAAGGGATAGCCAGAGTATTACCGATTAAGCGATAATCGGAGAAATAGTACCGCTCTACCGGGAACGTTATCTATTTTCAGTTATCTGAGTAAATCCGGACAGCAGGGAAAACACGTATGCCACTGTAGAAGACAGTGAGGAAGAGTAGAAGTGTACTGTCGAATATATATATAATCATTTGTTTTGTGTGTCTTTGTCTGTGTGAAGAGTGACAGAGTTATTACCAAGGGAAAAAGGGGTAAACATTAGTAATAATAAGTGAGGATTATAATATTATTAAAACTTAAAAGATATAATAATAAATTAATAGAAATTATTATTACAAAATATAGTTAAAAGGAATAACCTAAAAATTAAGAGAATTGGGAACCATAAATAGAATTGGTAACTGGAAAACACATGGTTAAAAGAATAAAAATAAATTAACAAGGTCCCAAAATAAGATTGCAAAATAGGATATAAAATTATATGATAAACATTAGTGTTATAAATCATCTTATATAAATAATAGAGTTTCAATTCTTAGTTGAAAGTACAAAATACTATTATTTTATTTAAAAAAAAAACCTAAACTCGAATTGAAGAGATCTAAAAAGTAAAGAGGTAGAATAATTAGACAATAAGAAAAATAAAAAGATAAAACACGATCTGTATTGGAAAGAGCAGAGCCGGCTAAATTAAAATTAATAAAGATTATAAAGGTTGGTGAATAAGCATATACCCTAAGGGTTGGGTGACTGCTGGTTGCCATGGGAGCCAATGGGAGCAAACAGACTGAGGGGCTGACGCCTGCCAAACTGGTAATAATGACACATCCATCCAATAAGCGCAAAATTCAAAAATGCATGACAGAATGGCATAAGATAACATCTGGGAAAAATCACTGGCCTAAAGAGGGCAGCTTTGATCCTTCATGTTGTGATGAAGTAGATACAAAATTGTGGGATAAAGATAAAAAACGAGACCGAATGTATTTGCATAAAAAACAGAAGTATACTGAACAGAGTGACATCCTGCGGTATTTTAAAATGGAACACCATAAGAGTCCAACAGCCCCTGACTACACTGATCATAAACCACCACCTTATCACCCCAGCATAGCGGGCCAATAACCCGTAGTAATAGAGCCAGGTAGCAAGGGAAAGATTACAGGACAACTTAAATTAGTGTTGGAAGAAGATGAGGAAGAAGCAGAAAAAGAAATGAGTGACACGGAGCAGAAAGAACATGACTACAGCAGTAAGGACGAAGAATTAGATAGAACCCCAGAAGTAAGGAGAAAATCCTCCCTGAGCTGTTCCCTACCCCCAAGAAGTCACAAACATTCACCATGCCCAAGAGGCCCCACATGTCGCTCAGAGCCCAGAACCAAGTCAACATATAAAAGCCACTCAGATCCCAGGACCGAGTTATTTTTGGATGAAACCGAATCACTGACAGAAAATATAAAAAAGGACTTGGTGGAACTGAAGGAAACATTTACACAACTCATCCATAGGGAGAAAGAGTTGGAAGAGAAAGCACAAATGAGACAACTAAAAAAGTTAAAGGAGATAATAAAAAGACAAAAGGAGGAGAAGAAAAGGCGAGACGAAGACTTAGAAAAAGTGAGGAGAATGGAAGAAGAGCAGCTTATAATTGCGGCCAAAAATGATTACACAGACCTACCATGTCCAAGGACCAAGATCCTAATGGACAAAGCAAGTAAGGAGGAGGAAAGCGCAATGGAAAGTGATGCAACAGATTGGGAAAACGTTGAGGCGCAGGATGAAGGCCCAGACATAATATCGCCAAAGCATCCATTTGATGGGGGGTCCAAGAAAAGGAGCAGGCCAGGGGCAGGTGTAAAGGAGCCACTCGTAGCTGAATGTGATGTGGATCTGCAGATAGTGCGAAACGGCACACACACCATGCAGACCAGATCCCAAACAAAACAGCTAGAACCGGAGCAAGAGCAAAGTGAGGTCTATATGGCTCCCTTGCTGTCTAAAGGACCTCAAGAAGACAGATATGTGCCATGGTCATTTATGGACATGATCACACTTGCTGGAAGACTGACCCCGTTGGCAGATGGTGCTGACAGGTGGATAGAGAAGCTGGAAGAGATCACTGGAGGCATCAATCTGGCCGCTGGAGACATCAAGGCGCTGCTGATCAAAACAGCAGGACACTCAGCAGCCAGGGGGGTGTTTGACGAAGCCCAGCTTCCAGGGGTCATGACCTCACACCGGTATGACAAGATACCATTCAACCAAATAAGACCCAAGGTGTGGGCAGCCTTAAGAAACAAATACCCCACCAGCAGTTGTAGAAGTGAATTGTGTTGCCTCAG